TCTTGATAGCTTGAGCAACAATTAAAAATAAATAAAAAAAAGGAAATTAAGATATTTTGAAGCAATCTGTCTTTTTGATTACTCAAAATGTTTTGTTTAGAAAGAGACTTCAGATAAAACTTTTTTTTTGAAGTTTTACTTATTTAAAACATTTTTTTAGAAAAAGACTTCAGATAAAACTTTTTTTTTCTAAAACGCAACGATTAAAAATCAAATTTATCCTATCAAAATTTGAATAGCATAAATTTGAAAGAGAAGTTGCGTAACTTTATACGCAAAGAAAGTTTTGCAAAGACTTTTATTTTTTAAATCTTTAAATTTTTAAAATAGAAGGAGAAAGTCAACTATAAAAAATAAGCAAAAACTGAATTGTTTTTTGAACTTTTCTCAAAAAATTAAGAATAATTGGTTAAACAAGAAATATAGAATTTTGGACTCCCCCCCCCCTCCCTAATTCAGAGATCTTCAGCAGCAGTTTCAGTTTGACTTGTTGACGTTCTTAGAATTTGACAAATACTAAATGAATCTCTAAACTTAATTTTTACTAAATATGCAGAAAGCACTTTAGGTTGACAAAAAACAAATTGTCAAATGGGTTGCATGAAAAGGAGAATGCAAATAAAAAAATATTCAAATAAAAAAATTTCTTAAAAAAAAAGTTTAATTTGGATGATGCCTTTCAATATTATTGGCATTTTTTCTCAAAGACAATCTGGTGGAGGTTCAGTCATGATTTGGGAAGCCTTTAGTGATTTCAGACAAGTTTTATCTTGCATTTTTAAATGGTAATCAAAGCTCAGAAAATTATGTTATAACTTTTTTAACTACTCTCTTTTACCTCAGGGAAAGATTTTATTTTTTAGCAAGACATTGTTTGATATGTATATGATATTTACACATCAAAGGTGACAAAATATTGGCTATTTAAAATTCAATTTATGCTTTGGACTCCTAAGTCACCCAGCTTAAATTCATTGAAAACTTTTAGGGGATCATGGCTAGATTTGTCTGTGTCAATGGAAGACAAGACATTTAATGGTTTTCTACCATTGGTTTAAATTTAGGGTTAATTTGAAAACTGGTTTGCTTTATATTTAAAAAATCATGGGGAGGGGTTGTTTATTTTTTGTCCTCACTGTAAACAAATACAAATACAGAACTAATATATAAACAAATATATAAAGCACAAGAACAAATATATAAACAAACCTGATGATTATGAGAATAATAATAAGGAAATAATGTGGGATAAAGTTGATATAAAAATCTGGTAATAATGTTTAGATGAGAAATTTATTTATATATCAATAAAATTTCATATCTATAAAATTTTATATCTTTATAATAAAATGTTATATTCTTAACAAGGTTTAACTTTACCCAAATAGGTTTGAATAGTTTCTACAAATTAAAGTGTTATTACCAATTTGAAAATTTCAACAATTTATCTTGACTTGCTAAAAAAAGAGTTTATTAATCCACTCTAACTATAAAAAAACTGTTTTCGTTGAGTTTAGTCCCCTAACCTTTATCCTGCTAAAAAAATAGTTTATTTTAGTTGGAGAGAATTACGAGTTGACCTGGACAAAAATAGTATAAAGCTGAATTTTTGAATAGAGGAAGTACACAGTCTCTAGATGAGCGTAAAAAAAACCCTGTTGATTGCGCTTAGGGAACATCTCTTTTGGGACAATTTGGGGCAAAATATGTGCCAATTTTGATAGCACTACAATATCATAAACCATATATCGTTGGATAAAAAATTTATGCTGATCAATATTTATATAAAAATGTTTGACTTACAAGTTAAACATTAATTGTTACATGTAGTAAAAGTCTTTACATTTTTAAAAGAAAATATGAGTGCTGCTTGTGTATTGTGCAAGCTTGGCTTTGAAAAAGAAAGTCAAAGTATATAAAAAAGGTCTCAAAGCATTGATTTGATTAAGCAAAGAATGGAGTATAAATGAAATATGCAGGTTAAAATTAGTTTAAATAAACAATCTTAATAAGTAGATTTTTCTTGCAGTTTGTTGAAACTTCAGTTTGTACATAATAACTATTATTCAATAATGACGTTTTGCTTCATTCAATCATTCAATCATTTCTAATTACTTATTTATCAATCAAACATATATTTGGTTATATACTTGAAAAATAAAATTATTTGTTATTAAAAAAGGTTTGGGATAAGAAAATGATAAGATAAGTTATTTTTGCACATTTTTAGTTATCTTAAAGACCAGTTGCAACAGAACATGCATAATAGTTCAACATTACTAGTCCATCATAGCTGTAGAAGAAACTTTGTGGCTTGTAGTAAAGATCAATCATTATCTGTACCAAAATAGAAACTATGATCCTTATTTGAAGAGGTATTTGGTTGGAAATCAAAATGTTTTCTTTGTATTAAAAAAGTAGGCCACAAACATTCATTGATTGCTAAAGTTGAGACCACATATTGATTATACCAAATGATTGAACGTTCTTTGAATAGAGAGGACAATTGGGGAAATGCTGTACATTCTTTTTTGATGTCTTTTTATGATCTTGTAGCAGAAGTCACCTATCTTGTTTTGTGCATGAACAACTTCAGGTTTAAAACTAAAAGCAATAACCAACATGGACACAAATTAGATCTCACTATGTTTGAAATTTTAGAAAAACTCTGTTTCTGGTTAGAGGAAGAAACTGACTGCAAACTTTATATCTTTTCCGGTGTGCACATTAAGATGAAAGAACTTAGTAATGGTTATCCATACTACTCAACAAAATCTTTAAAACGAAAATTATTTGAACATTATGGTGATCATATTTTTTTTGGAGAACTCTCTGTTCAATCTAATTTAGTTTGTTTCAGAGATATAGTTTCTTTTATTGTATCAAAGTTTCAAAAAAAGAAAGGTCTAACTAAAAATGATATTTTCAATATCCTTTGATGAAGTGAAGTTGTTCAAGTCATCTGCTGCAGGTAGTAGAGTAAATGCTGCTCAAGAATAGGAGCCGAACTTTCTACATTGGGTGGTTGATAATGTAGATTACAACATTCTTACATTGGCCAGAAAAGGAACATTTCACAGAATGGGTTTATTAAAATTAAATATCAATATGTTCTTTTTTTAAATGCAATTATAAAAACATAACGCATTTGAAACACGAGTCTATTAAAAATTTATCTGTTGTGTCTTTAAAAATAATGCCTTGTCACGGATCAAGCTTTATTGGTTTATTAAATAAAAGTTTGAAAAAAAAAGAATGTGTTTTTTTCTTTGAATGTTCTATAGCGTAATACTGGACAAACAAATTAGTTGTTTTGTTCATTCAACCAATAGCGTAAAACTGGACAAACAAATTAATTAATGTGTTTATTCAACACTCCTTTTTAATAGGCTTGCAGAAATTGAAGAAAGAGAGGATGACAACAAAAAGCAAAGATTCTTCCCAAAATCTTGTCATAAGAGATAATAATCCGGCTCCACACTCACAAGAGCATTTTCTATTGAATTCACACAGCAAAGCACAATTAATTTTACTTTTGTCAGATTATCTTAAACAAGATGGCCAAAAAGTATATGTTTGCAAAAAGGATGCCGACACAAAAATTCTCTAAATCATTGGAAGTTGCAAAAGAAATCTCACCATGCGTTGTTGTTGCCGATGATACGGATATAGCATTGATGCTAATGTATCATTGGAAATATGAATCAAATGACGTTTTTTAAACATGAAAAAACTCTGGAGTATAAAAAATGCTCAATCCTCGCGTAATCGAGTAATCGAGTAATCTCGGGTTTTAAAGAACATCTGTTATTTGTTCATGCATGGTCAGGGTGTGACTCAACATCTTCAATACTGGGAACAAGAAAACCTAGTTTTTTAAAATTACTGCAAAAATCGAATAGTATACAATCAGTATCTGAAATTATTTTGGATTACTGGGCAACCAAATAAGAAATTGGAGAAGGCTTTCATTATACTTTTTGGTGAAAATACAGGATCTTCGTTAATGAAAATGCGGTTAATATTTGAACGTCTAATTTTAGTTTTTTGTTATTCATTTAGATTGAGAGAATTTAAATTTAGATTGAGAAAATATTTTTATAGTATTATTTTTTAGATATGTGAAATATAAACAAATGGTTTGTGAAGGAATTATGAAGCCAGAAAAGTTGCCACCCACAGATCGTGCTGCTTATTTTCATGGTCTTAGAGTTTATCTGCAGGTTATTGAATGGATAATGCTAGATGAATCTTTTAACTTGGATCCAAAAGAATGGGGTTGGAATTTAGATAACGGTTGTCTTCTTACAATACCAACAATCAAAGATGTAGTATCACCCAATATATTAAAAGTGATTTGCTGTGATTGTAAAACTTTGTCAAGAAATATTATAAATAAATAAAAAAAAGGAATAAAATGTATGTCTGCATTATATCATATGCACATAATCTTCTTAAAGTATATTAGTTGTTTTTGTAATACGATCGTTTTACATTTTTAGAATTTTGAAATTTAAGAAGGTTCATATAATAAAATTGAAAACGAGAGAAATTTATTTGATGATTTGTTTTGAAAAAAGTAAGATATAGGACATCAACACTTTAAAGAAATTTACATTAAAGTTATTTTTGTTTTGAAAACAAAAAAATAGTATTTTAACGCTTTTACACTTGTAACAATGTAATTAACTACAATTATTATTTACAATGTAAATAACTTTGAAAATAATTGTCTTCAAGTTCTTATATAAATATCAATCAGCATAAAATTTTCTGTACAACGATATATGGTTTATGATATTTTGATGCTGTAAAAGTTTACCATTTTTTTACCCCAGCGCAATCAACGGGGCTTTTTTTTACGCTTATCTAAAGACTGTCTACTTTTTCTCTGCAAAATTTCAGCTTTATACCATTTTTGTCTGGGTTTGACCCTAATTTTAGCTAATTCTCTCCTACTTTTCACTCTAAGTATAAGCAACTGCTTTTGTTGAGTTTAGTGCATCTTGTTGAAAAGCTTATTGGTCGTCTACCTGAAAAACAACCACAAAAGTTTATAAACTTTCAGTTTGTTTCATACTGGGATTCGATCTACAATTGTATTGTTTCATTACTGGTTTTTTTTGTGAGTTTGAAGTTTCTAAAACTTCTTCGATTCAATCATCGAGTTTCAGTGCTCTCATCAACACTTAAAGTTGCATTCTTCCCTCTTTCCATGCTTGGAATCACGTTTGTATTAGCTCTTTGTGCAATAATATCATTTAGTACCATATCATTTGGTAAGTGAAATTTAATTTATATGGTATTTATAATGATTTAATTTATATGATATTTATAAATATATATGGTATTTATAATAATTTTGATTTAATTCTAAATCAAAATTATTTTTTTGTAGGCGTTTTATTGGATGGTTATCAAACATATTTGCAAACTATTTCTTCAGTAATATTTTTGTTGTTGGGAAAATTCAGCTATTATAGTTTTGTAAATGCAAGCCCTGTACTTGGTCCACTTTTTTTTTTGGGTTTTAACATATTCATGATTTGGATACTTATGAATATGTTTATATCTATACTCAATGATTGTTGGATATTTGTGCACCAAAATAAAGATTTTCAAAATAATGACTATGAGATGGTTGACTATTTTTTAACTCGCTTTCAAGGTTTAGATTTTACAATTCATTTTTTAATATTTGTTAAGGTGGAAGGAAAAATTTAAATTTTTTATCAGCTATTTTAAAAGCTTTATTAGGACTTATCAATAAAATAGAAATTTAATATTTTAAAAATATATAGCCTATAGATACATACATGCATACATACATACATACATACATACATACATACATACATACATACATACATACATACATACATACATACATACATACATACATACATACATACATGCATACATACATACATACATGCACACATACATACATGCATACATACATACATACATACATACATACATACATACATACATACATACATACATACATACATACATACATACATACATACATACATTCATGCACACATACATACATGCATACATACATACATACATACATACATACATACATACATACATACATACATACATACATACATACATACATACATACATACATACATACATACATACATTCATGCACACATACATACATACATACATACATACATACATACATACATACATACATACATACATACATACATACATACATACATACATACATACATACATTCATGCACACATACATACATACATACATACATACATACATACATACATACATACATACATACATACATACATACATACATACATACATACATAATTGTTATATATCAAAAAGTCATTACAATCATATTTACAATGTGGCTGTATAGACTAATGAAATTTAGATTTTGGAGCTTCACAAATTAGTTTTGCCCCAGGGCCCCGAGCCAGCTTGGAGCTGTCCTGATTTTATGAAAATCATAAGCGTTGAGTAAAATAAAGAAAAAAAAAGTTAATGAAGTACATAATCGAAAGTTTAATTAAATATAAATAATGCTAACATTCTATGAATTAGATAAAACTTTCTGAGAGTAAATAAAAAACTAGGTAATAATACATACTATTGTTATTAAATGAACAAATAAAAATTAAAGATTGAAAAAAAATTAAAGTTAAATCGAATGAAAAGATGTTCTAAGATTTTTACTCAATTAAATCGACTTTTAGTCGATTTAGTCGAAGTCAATATAACTATACTATAATACATATATAACTACACTAACTACAACTATAAAAACATTATATTTTGTTTTAGGTTGGTTCGGATTAAATACAAAGAACAATTCAAAACACTTGTCGTCATCAGGGTCAGACTGTGTACGCAAAAAGTCTGAAATTCTTAATTCAACTGCATTATCCTGCGAAGGCTTGTCGCATTGTTTAAAAAATTGTAACACAACTACGATTATCTGTGTTTATAATTTTGATGAAAATGTCATAGAACAAGAAGATAAAGGTTATATGAATAAAGTGCAAGAAAAATTTATCAAATGTGTTCATATTTTACAAAATCGTAACTTCATACAAGCAAGTTAAAAATAATCCATTAACAGGAGTGAAAAAAGAACTGCTTTGTTCAATTTATTTTGCTCTGTTTATTATGTCTTATGAACCACTTGTTGTTTTTTTATCGTTGTTTTGAATGGCTTAAATTTTGTTTTGTTTTTAAAACATTTTTAAGTTCTATTATTTGTGTTGCATTAAAAATGAAAAAAAATGTTCAGTAACCTAGTATTCAATAAATTTGTAAAATTTCTAAACATATTTTTGTTTTGTTATTTTAATAAATTTATAAAGTGCTGTGAAAATGTTTTTTTATGTATAATTATTATAGAAAAGCTGTTTTTATAACAATATTACTATTACATTATTATTGTATTATATAATGAAATAATTATAAAATAACTTTATATATATATATATATATATATATATATATATATATATATATATATATATATATATATATATATATATATATATATAACATAAGATATAATAAAGACACATACTTTATATATCGTCGGGGATAGATTTGCAATGATCTTTAATTGCAGACCGTCCACGGCTACTAATGTCAAATAGGCTTTTACAAATAGTACATTTGAGAAGTTCATCTTTGATCTGCGTTAAGAAAGGAAACATTTTCTTTAAATTATAATTAAATGTGGTTAAACTTCTCTTCTTCCCAGTGGGCACGGAAGTAAAAACGACGTCTTTTAAACGTTTAAAATACGTCCAAAACGTTCAAAAGACGTTCAGAAAACGTCTAAAACGTGTATAAGACGTTTAAAAGACGTCTTTTTTACTTCCGTGCCCACTGGGTTACTATTCATTTTTTTGAATTTGATATATAAATAGTTATAAACACCATAAATTACTTTTTTATGAACACTTATTTTTATAAACTTTTTTTTAAAATAAATGCAAAGTGTTATTTACAATATTTAGGGAAAAAAATACATTAAAAGGCAAACAAAATTTGCGTAAAACGAGCGCATTTTCTTTGTTGTATTTGAAAAATCTTTTAAAGTAATTTTTTTCTTCTCTAATGAGAATTTTAAAAACTTTTTTTTAAAATATTTTTAATTTAATTCATTTAGTTTTGAATTTCATTCATTTTCATTTCATTTAGTTTTGATTCAATTTCATAAAATTTAGTTTCATATTTTATAGTTAAGTTTATTGGAATTTTATTTATTTTGTTTTTTAACTATATTTTAGAAATTTCATTTAATCTTTCAAATAATATTTTTTGAAATATTTAATATTTTTTGTTAGATTAACGTTGATCTGTCATTGATTCAACTAACTTATATACGAGTTTATAAACCTCAAAAATACATTTTTTTGCGCCGTGACTCTTTTAATCCAAAAAAACATTTTTTGTACAATATTGCGTTGTTATGAGTAAGAAAAGAAACAGTATTCTTCATAAACTTATAATAGCTGTACAATAACTTATTCTATTGTACTGCACATCTCAATTTTTATACCTCTGATTATTATTAGTAGTATTATTAGTTTATTTTATATTATTTTTATTTTATTTTATATTATAATACTAACTGTTGTTATAGTATTACAAATACTCTACCCTGTACCATTTTTTTAACGCAGGTAACTAAATTATAGAAATTGGAAGGCAAATATTAAAAGCAAATTAAACCTAAAAAATAATTTATACATTTTTAAAACAATAACTTATACAAAATTAAAGTTATTTTTAAAACGATCATGATAAAATCATAATATCGTTATCTTCATCACTAATATCAAATTCATATGTATTTTTATTGTCTTCTGTTATCAGACTCATTTTGATTTGATGCATTTTCTACGATCCAATCAATATGGTGCAACCTTCAAACGGTCTAAATTCTATCTTCGTGCATTGTGTATTTTTATTTAAGAACATCAGGTAACTGCATCTAAATAAAAATATCTTTAAAGTAAGGTACATTTGAACATTTTACAAGTATTATTATACTTCACATTGTTCACAAGCAAATGTGAACATTCAAATTGTTCACAAGCAAATGTGAACAAGCAAATGTGAACAATGATCAATAGTAGGAAAAAAAACAACCATTACTGATCCGTGCCTAATTTACTTCATTATTGACCAAGATATCAACCTATTTGAATAAAGATACATTATACATCATTATCATACATCAACGCAAATACACACACATAACACAAACCTTTTAGACAGTTATACATTGCTTAAGTCAAACATTTGTTAAGTAGAATTGTTTTCCTTGGTCCCCTGGGGAGTCAAGATATCTACAATTTTTTTTCAAAATATTAGGGACCCGTCAAATTTTTGAGGGCCTTGAGCTACCCCTAAAAATATTTTTTGTTCAAAAAAATTTTAAACCTAGTGTTTTTGTATTAGATAAAACACATTTAGGGGGTACCAGCAGGTTTTTCTCAAACAAGTTGTTTTAAGCACCACCCTAATATATATATATATATATATATATATATATATATATATATATATATATATATATATATATATATATATATATATATATATATGTATATATATATATATATATATATATATATATATATATATATATATATATATATATATATATATATATATATGTATATATATATATATATGTATATATATATATATATATATATATATATATATATATATATATGTGTATATATATATATATATATATATATATATATATATATATATAATATATATATATATATATATAGATATATATATATATGTATATATATATATATATATATATATACATATATATATATATATATATATATATATATATATATATATACATATATATATATATATATATATATGTATATATATATATATATATATATATATATATATATATATATATATATATATATATATATATATATATATATATATACTTATATATATATGTATATACTTATATATATATATATATATATATATATATATATATATATATATATATATATATATATATATATACATATATATATATATATACTTTGTTTCAATGTTCAATCAATATGAAAAAAATATACCGTAAAGATAATTGATAATATTCATTTAATAAGATATAAAATGTCCTGGTAAATGCAACAAAATGTCCTGGAATGTCCTGGAAATGTCCTGGAATTTAAAATTTTGTCCTTTAAAATTTTGTGGCCACCATGTATTTATACGGGATATGTGTATATCAATGTTCCCTATTTAGATGTAGTAATTAGAGGAAAAAAGTCTCATTTATTTTTTGTATTCTGCAAAAAGAAATATTTATTAAAATGGAATAAAACAAATTTTAAATCAATTTGGCCTTTTTTTTTATTTTAAAAAAAAGTTAAAATTAACTCTTATAATCCCAAGTGTAAACCATAAATTTTTTTAATGACACATCCTTGCATAAGAGAAAAATTATTACTTACAATTACAATTCCTGCATTAGAGTTATAATTACAAGTTATAACTCTTATGTGTTATTTGTTTAATATTTACTTAAAATTTTTAAAATTTGTTTAAATATTTGTTTAAATGCAATACAAACAACTCTTAATATTTTTTATTTTGAAATTTAAATTGTATTGATTGAAATGCATTACAAAAAAAGTTAGGCAATGCGTACAAAGTATGCATATTTACAACTGCAAAAAGCTGATGTGATGTGTGTTTGATAGTAAATCCCATGAAGAGAGAGAGCAACATGAAGACATGAGGCTATGTGATGTGATTTATGTGAATGATTTTATATTATCAGATGATAAACTTGTGGCTGATTTTTTTAATGCATATTATGAAGACACTGTTGCAGTTGTGCATCAAACCGATCCCTAAAACTATCAAAACATTTATGGCCTCATAGAAAATTCAATATTTAAATACAAATTACTATTAGTATTATTAATCAGTATTATTGTGACTAAGAAATTAATATATAATGTTAATAAGAAATTCAATACCCTTTAATTCTTTTCTTTCCAACATACAACCATCAAAAAGGTATCTAACCATATTTCTAAACTAAATAAATCTAAAATGCAACAAAAGGACAATATACCAACTAGAATAATCAAAGATAACTTTTTTTTTTCTGATTTTGTATATAAAGACAATAACTACTTTATTTCAAACAACATTCAACATCTAGACCTATTAAAACAACAAACAATATCTCTACCTATTAAAAATTGCTGATATTACTCCAATACACAAAAAAGGCTCCTGAGCAGATAATAGCAACTACAGGCCAACCAGTATTCTATCCATCATATTTACGATATATAAAAGATGTATGTATGAGGATATAGCTAGCTTCTTTGAAACAATTTTATTTAGACATCAATACAGTTTTTTTAAAGGTTATAGTGCTCAACAATGTTCAGTTAAATAGCAGAAAAATGGAGAAAAGCCTTAGATTACAAGAGATGCTTTGGTGCTTTACTAACTGATCTCTCTAAAGCCTTTGATTGTATAACCTATGCGTTACTAATCACCAAACTAGATGCCTATGGTTTTATTCAAAACAGTATGTTTATGTCTTCCTATCTAATGATCAGAAAACAGTTAGTAAGAATAAATGATAAATTCAACTGTTACACTGATATGCTATACGAAGTTCGGCAAGGTTCAATTCTCAGACCTCTGTTATTTAACATTTTTATCTCTGATTTATTTTTTTTCCTTTCTGACGTTTAAATTGCTGGATATGCAGATGACAATACTCCATACCTCACAAGAAAAGATATTACTTTTGTAACTACCAACTTCCAAAAAGCCGCGAATCAATTGTTAATATGGTTCAAAAATAATGGAACGAAGACAAATTTTGAAAAATATTACCTTATCATAAGCAAACATATTTTTAATAAAAAACATGCAATTTTTGCATGGTTTTTATTAAAAATGTTGCATTTACTAATAAGCTAAAGTAAAACAAAATATTTATATTTAATTAGTTTTTGCCACTCTTGTTAGCTTTTTATTACTATTATTAATGTATTTATTGGTTATCTTACAATTTACATTTATAACAATATTTATTTTTGAAGTATAAGTGTCAGTTGACTTAAATTAGCCAATTATAGAGCTATCAATGTAACAACTATATGTGTCAACTACTACAAATAATAAATGTTTGAAATGTTTTACAGTAATCCATAAAAAAAGTAAATCCT